TGAAGTAGGTAAAAACTCTAGGCACATGAAATCTGAGATAAGACTACTAACACCAAAGAATTTCCACACTCCATCCTCTTCTCTGCCCTCAGAGTATTTTCGTTCAATGGCCTGAAAGCACAAGATGTTTGTCAAAAGAAAAACGTCCCAAGAAAAAACATCTCTACCTCTTTCAATGAGCACCTTAGAAAACTACTTTTTCCTAGTGAAAACCTTTCTCACCCTTCCAAGGACAACTAATCACAATCAGAAATTCATGGCAAGAGTTCAAGGAAAAAACTCCTTACCTACTCAGTCAATAAATCTGTTGCACACTTGACTGCATGTCAAGTGCTGTTCTAAGTGCTGAGGATATAGTAATTAATAAAACAAAAATGCCCTGGCCTGCAAGAGGAAGATGGAGAAGTGGCCCTGGTGCTTCTGGGCCGGCCCTCACCCGTCGCTGTGTGCCCCAAAGATGTGGCGCTGTGCAGCAGTCACTGCACTGTAAAGCCTGGGCGCTGTGGCCTGGACCCCGTGCCCTCTTAGAGAAGCAGCCGCCTCCCCCAGATTTGGGGTGGGGGTCCTGCCAGCTTGAGCACCACCCTTGCCCTGAGTCTTTTAACCGGGTGTTAACATCTTAAAGAGACGTGGCAGGAATCCTGGCCTCTGACCTAACTGCTCCACCCCCGCCAAGACCTCGGCAAGACTCTGTACTAGCGATGTCCAAAGAATCTCTTTTGTGGTTTAAGGAGAATAAAGTTGACTACCTTTCAAAAAAATTTTAAAAAACCAAAACACCTGCTCTCCTGAAGCTTTTTTTTTTTTTGAGACACAGAGTCTTGCTCTATTGCCCAGGCTGGAGTGCAGTGGCACAATCTCGGCTCTCCTGCCTCCGCCTCCTGGGTTCAAGCCATTCTCCTGCCTCAGCCTCCTGAGTAGCTGGGACTGTAGGCATGTGCCACCATGCCCAACTAATTTTTGCATTTTTAGTAGAGATGGGGTTTCATCATGTTGGCCAGACTGGTCTCAAACGTCTTTTTCTTTTTTGTATTTTGAGACAGAGTCTCACTCTGTCACCCAGGCTAGAGTGCAATGGTGTGACCTTACTTCAGTACAACTTCCACCTCCTGGATTCAAGCAATTCTCCCACCTCAGCTTCCCAAATAGTTGGGATTACAGGCACCCATCACCAAGCCCAGCTAATTTTTTTTTGTATTTTTAGTAGAGATGGGGTTTCGTCATGTTGGCCAGGTTGGTCTTGAACTCCTGGCCTCAGGTAATCCACCCGCCTCAGGCTCCCAGAGTGCTAGGATTACGGTTGTGAGCCACTGCGCTGGGCCCTGAAGGTTACTTTCTACTGTGGGAGCTTACAATATATAATATGTTATAGGTTGATAAGGTTAAAGCAAAAAATAAAGCAGAAAAGGGGGGATAGGGAATTATGTAAATGCGTATAGAGGAGAGACTTTGCCATCCAGATAGCCAAGGGAATATCACTGCTAAGAGTGACATTTGGGCCAGGCATAGTGGCTCACATCTGTAACCCCAACACTTTGAGTGAGAGGCTGAGGTGGGCGGATCACCTGAGGTCAGGAGTTCCAGACCAGCCTGACCAGTATGGTGATACCCTGTCTCTACTAAAAATACAAAAATTAGCCAGTTGTGGTGGTGCACACCTGTAATCCCAGCTACTCAGGAAGCTGAGGCAGGAGAATCGCTTGAACCCAGAAGGCAGAGGATGCAGTGAGC